AGACAGTTGTATTGAAACGATAAAATTCAATAAATATATTAATGTGTTAATGACATCAAATTAGGTAAACATATCATATCTCACATAAACTGATATAATTCATTATTCAGTTAATATTTGTTATCTTGTTAGAAAATTTTAAGATTATAAATCGTTCTGAATCATTTAATATTTGGAGATCAATAATATGATAATGTTATTAGGAACACACTTTAAGAGCAAACTAAATGTAGATTGTAGATAGTAGATTATTTTTGTAGAAAATTGAAAAATTAATTAGCAATATCTGATATTTAATAAAAAAAAAATAGAGTACAAAATTGCTTGGTTAAAAATTTTATTACTATACATAAATTCCATTGGATAAAAGTTTTGGAAAATACTTTTAAAAAAACATTTAAATCTAGAGGATTTTGTTTAAAAATATCTAGTGATGCCAAAGCAAAAAGTAGTAAAATTTATTCATTTGAAAATCTGATGCATTTAAAAATAAAATAGTCAAAAGAATATAAAAATATATTTAAATATAAAATTATTATTAAATATAAAAACTGAGATTAAAACTTGCAAATACTCCATTAAGCAAAATATCACTATCAAAATTCCATTATCAACATAAAAATAGCAAAAATATCAACATAAAAAATATGTTTATTTAAATATTGCACAAATCTATCAATTTGTGAAAAACGTGAAAAAAATACTGTCATATTAAAACTGCAGAATGCTTTACTCAAAAACACAATGATATCTTATGACTTGGAAATAAAGTTTGTTATATAGAACACGACTTTCTATAACTGCACATCGTCGAATTAAGTGCAATTTTTTTAACAACAGATATAAATGTAGGCTAAGATATTAAAAAAGCTTGAGCCTTTTTTTAAAGTTAAAGTATCATAAAGAAATAACATATTTAAAAATACTATGTTCGTTAGCAGAGCAATAAAATTACTTTAATAACTTCAATGAAAAAAATCTTTCAGAATAATAAAATACAACACAATGATTTAGAAAATTTAAAATTCAATTAGAGGGAGCAAAGTACACATAAATGCGAATACAAAATTATAAAGGTAACATAGGTAATGTTTGAAGCAAAATTCTATCATTATATTTAATAAACATAACTATTATATATATATATATATATATATATATATATATATATATATATATATATATAGATTTATATATTATATAGATATATGAATGCGTAGTAAAAAATCTATTAATGTGCAAAATAATTCACAAAAATGCATTACAGTGTGATAATTTAATTCGACAAATACATTAATCTAGGATCAGATTAAAATTAAAACGTCAACAAAGTCACAAAATTAATAATGAATACATTTATCAATACATTAAATAAAATATTGTTTGAAATTAGTTATTATTGAAAAATATTAGCAAAGTTTTAAAAAATATCGCACATTAAAAGTAACTATATTCAGTAATACATTCCATACGATATGTTATATATCGTTATTGTTGACATAACTAAGAATATAATTGATGATACATTAATAGTCATCAAAAAGAATATTTTAAGATTAAATCATAAAATGTTTCCAATTTATATTAACATCTTTAAAAAAATGCAAAAAAGGCACAAAATAGAACACAGATAGTGAAAATTAAAATTCAATCATATGTTATGGTTTTGAAATAGTAGTACAAATGATCTGAACAAAATATTTTCATGAAAAGTACAACAGATTTAAAAAGTAAGAAATATTTGTTACTAAAAGTTAGAAGTATTTTACTAAAGTAAAAAAGTGCAAGTATTTAGGCATCATATAAAAATTTTAAAAATAAATGCATATATCAATGTGCTTAAATTTGCAATCAATATACTGAAACAAATAACATTTTGATTAAAATTAGTTATTATTGAAAAATATTAGCAAAATTTTAAAAAATATCGCACATTAAAAGTAACTATATTCAGTAATACATTCCATAAGATATGTTATATTTCGTTTTTGTTTTGAGATAACTAACAATATTATTGATGATACATTAATAGTCACCAAAAAGAATATTTTAAGATTAAATCATAAAATGTTTCCAATTTATATTAACATCTTTAAAAAATGCAAAAAGGGCTCAAAATAAAACACAGATAGTGAAAATTAAAATTCAATTATACGAGTATATTATGGTTTTGAAATAGTAGTACAAATGAAATGAACAAAATATTTTATGAAAGGTACAATAGATTTAAAAAGTAAGAAATATTTGGATTTGTAACTAAAAGTTAAAAGTATTTTACTAAAGTAAAAGTGCAAGTATTTAGGCATCATATAAATATTTTGAAAATAAATGCATATATCAATGTGCTTCAATTTGCAATCAATGTACTGAAAAAAAACATGAACTATTAAAGTCTAAAACGGAAAAAATCCATATTATGATGAAAGTGGCATATAATGAAAAAAATGAATGAATGTAATGCATTAATAGTCATCAAAAAGAATATTTTAAGATTAAATCATAACATGTTCCCAATTTATATTAACATCTTTAAAAAAATGCAAAAAACGCACAAGATAGAACACAGATAGTGAAAATTAAAATTCAATCATATATTATGGTTTTGAAATAGTAGTACAAATGATGTGAACAAAATATTTTCATGAAAAGTACAATAGATTTAAAAAGTAAGAAATATTTGGATTTGTCACTAAAAGTTAAAAATATTTTACTAAAGTAGAAGTGCAAGTATTTAGGCATCATATAAATATTTTAAAAATAAATGCATATATCAATGTGCTTCAATTTGCAATCAATGTACTGAAAAAAAACATGAACTATTAAAGTCTAAAACGGAAAAAATCCATATTATGATGAAAGTGGCATATAATGAAAACAATGAATGAATGTAATGCATTAATAGTCATCAAAAAAAATATTTTAAGATTAAATCATAACATGTTTCCAATTTATATTAACATCTTTAAAAAAAATGCAAAAAACGCACAAGATAGAACACAGATAGTGAAAATTAAAATTCAATCATATATTATGGTTTTGAAATAGTAGTACAAATGATGTGAACAAAATATTTTCATGAAAAGTACAATAGATTTAAAAAGTAAGAAATATTTGGATTTGTCACTAAAAGTTAAAAGTATTTTACTAAAGTAAAAGTGCAATATTTAGGCATCATATAAATATTTTAAAAATAAATGCATATATCAATGTGCTTCAATTTGCAATCAATGTACTGAAAAAAACATGAACTATTAAATTCTAAACGGAAAAATCCATATTATGATGAAAGTGGCATCTAATGAGAAAAATGAATGAATGTAATGCATTAATAGTCATCAAAAAAAATATTTTAAGATTAAATCATAAGATGTTCCCAATTTATATTAACATCTTTAAAAAAAAAATGCAAAAAACGCACAAAATAGAACACAGATAGTGAAAATTAAAATTCAATCATATATTATGGTTTTGAAATAGTAGTACAAATGATGTGAACAAAATATTTTCATGAAAAGTACAATAGATTTAAAAAGTAAGAAATATTTGGATTTGTCACTAAAAGTTAAAAGTATTTTACTAAAGTAAAAGTGCAAGTATTTAGGCATCATATAAAATTTAAAAATAAATGCATATATCAATGTGCTTCAATTTGCAATCAATGTA